AGCAAGAGAAAAGCCAAGTATACTGGAAGACACTATGATGTCGTGTCATCTTTACTGCAGTAGATTCTTCAGTGTTATATACTAGAATCCTGCTCATATCATATATGTGAAGTAGATCAGAAAGGAAATTTCCCAGAGATGGTAAAATGCCTTCACTTCAGAAAAATTCATCCACGCAGCCACTTTCAAGAGGAGAGTGCCTCTCGTCAAATATACTGTCAAGCTCTGGTTCTGACCACATTATGAAGCGTTAGTCCAGTTCAGTGTTTCTCAAACTGTGCTCTTCCAGATGTTTTGGACTTCAGCTCCCAGAAATGCCAGCCAGCTTACCAACTGTTTGGAATTGTGGGAGCTGAAGTCCAAAACATCTGATGGAGCAGTTTGAGAAACTCTGGTCCATTTTATCAGTAATCTTGACTGTATGTCTATAGGTGAAACTCAATCTGTAAATTGCTATGAAGTTTCAGAGTTCAGCTTTATACTATTATACAACTATTAAGAGAGAGAGAAAGGAAATAAAATTATTTTCTTCTGAAACTGAAATAGCTCAGACTAACTGGAGAACTTTAGAAGAAAAGGACACTCTGGTTTGAATGACGTATGTAAACTGAGCATATATGATAATCAAAAACTCCCCATCTCACAAGTTGCAATTCACTTGTTGAGAGCAGAGATGGAGACATACCCTTAACAAGAAAAGGTGGGAAGTTTGTACTTTGCCATCATGAGTCCTACACCTTGAATGCACAATCCCCAAGATAGTTTCTGGAGACTGTTGAGACATAGAACCAGTCTGCCAGTTTCCTTTCAATTTATTTCAGTGCTTGTGGGACATTAGGCTATTTCTTTCTTTCTTTTGTGTCCTGCCTTTCTTCCAAGAATCTCAATATGGCATACATTCCTCTACCTCAGTTTTTTCTTCATATGAACCCTGCAAGGCAGATTGCACTGGATATGACTCAAGGTGGCCCAGAAATCTTTATGGTAAAATGAAAATTTGAACACGAGGCTTTCCTAGTCTATTTTAACATTGTAAACACTTAAAAAATACAGTTAAGCATATATCTGATCTCCTAACCCTATGAAAATTGCCCATTATATGACACCACCATAAGTTGACTTTTAGAAGTATCAAACACAGAGAGAGAAAACTTCATCACAGAGAAGAGATAGATCCAGAGGTGCATTTAAGAGTGATTTATTTTCAAGGTTTCATGGATTTCACTTCTTCAGCTACACTGATGAACAGTCTTAAAGCCATAGATATTGGTCGGAAGACTGTACTTTGTCAATGCACCTGAAGGAAAGGACTTCATAAAATGTCATACTATAATAAATGTGTCTTAAGATGAGAGGCACTTTTCTCTTGAAAGTGGCTGCTTGGATGGTACACTAGATTCATCCCCCCACCCTTTCTGTTTTATGCTAAAACAGACTAAAATTGCTATGTCTTCACCGCAAAGGCATTTAATAACTCAAAAACTAATGATCACCGATATGAAAATAAGTGCCAAAGCTGTGAAATGACCTAAAATTATATCTCTCTGTGGCTATTATGACAGATGACTGACTGAAATCTGCCTAGAGAGCAAAATAATATCTCATAGTGATATGGAGGTCAGGGTGGCAGAAGTAGCATGTCTGGAAGCCCAGAAAGGGCATAGGACAAGAGGTACTGGGTTCTAAAGGAGGTCTGCAAAGCCAAGAAGACAGGATGAGTGGATGGGTGGGGATGGGGAGATTTTTAAAAGTGTACTTCAGTTGGGACAGGAGGCGAACATCTGCTGTTTTTAGGAGGAAGAGCAGAATGGGGAAGAAGTTGGGGCTTGACATATTGATTCAGTAGAGCCTGCCAAAATTGGGGGCTAAAGATCTATAACTTTCCTTAATACCATGACAGTTCTCTTCTTAGATATTTGCTTTATAAATGGCTTTTTTATTTCTAATTGCAGTTACCCACTTCCCCTCTGAACCAGGATGGGATTTTAACCAAAGCAGCCATATTTTGCAATTGTGGCTTTCTGGTTGTCTAGTGAAGCCTCCCAATTATTGTTCACATTTCCCTGGAAGTGAAGTCTGCCTCTCCAGCCTATTTGGCTGGTGATATTTCCAAACCCATCTAGAGTAAGTCTGTCTTTCTGAAGCCCCGAGTGTTGCTATTTGGCCTCAAACCATCTCTACAAGGTAACAACTGAAAGCTATAAGCAACTACCAGTTCACCTTGTTGCAGGACACATAAATTGAGTTGCTGTAAAATGGGCTGCTAGCGTTCGTGTTACAAACACAAACACACACCTTGCATATATTTATATATAACATTAGATAATACTTTTCATTAGCTTAAAGTTAATCTCCCATAAACATATACAATGGGCGGAACTCAGTATTTCTGTAAAAAAGGTAGAGCGCCCCAAACAACACCACAAAAAATTGGACTACAGTAAAGCTCACAGTTCGCTGTCTGCCAGAAGAGGGAACTAGGTATGTGAGTAGGCAATAAATCTACTATTTACTTTTTTCAAAACATTTAACACAATTTGGGATTTTTTTAAATGGAGCAATTTAGTGGGATTCAGTATTTGTCCAACACTTGTTTTGGGTTTCTTCTTGTGTTCTTTCAATGCATAAGAAAGCAAACCAGAAAACCTCAGTTCCTTTTTCAATAAAATAGAGTAGGTAGGGATACAATCTATTTTGGCCGATATAAAATTTATGAGGGAAAGCCATTCAGGCAAACACTCCATTATGACAGAAAATAACATGGCCTGTAAAGTACTCAACTAGGCCTCTTATCAGGAATATAAGAATTTGAGCTACATGTAAAAATCAAAATTCCAGTCCAATTATGACAAAGGGTCGTGGAAAGTAAGGGAACACAAGTGGAAGAGAGACTGTATTTTACCACATTAGTGTGTGAAACTTGGGCTAGAAAGTTCCAAGTTCAAATCTCCATTTGACCAAGAAACATTGGCAAGCCTGCACCAGTCTCATACACAGTTACTGACTTGCTTCACAGGATTGTTCCAGGAACAGAAAAAATGAAGGGAATAGCCCAAACTCCTTGGAAAAAGTGTAGGATAAAATATAAACCAACCAATCAACTAATTCATCAACCAGTCATTCCTTAAGGTTTGCAGGTTTAACTTTGATCAAACTTAACTTTGATCATTTTCAGGTTTGAATAGCATATACTCATGTACAAGTTAACCTCATGTATAAGTTGAGGTCAGGTTTTGGGGTCAAAATTATGGCTATGAAATAACTTGTGAGTAAGTCAAGGGTCATTCTATAAAGAGAGGAAAATGCCAGTGCTGCCTCAGGGGAATCCAAAAGGACCAGAAGTGGTGCCACAGCAGAGAGGGTAGACGGAGTCAGTGTTTCTTTTAAGCTCTCCTGGGAGGTTCTAGGCTCTCACCTTTCATGTTAACTTTTTTTGTCCATTTGCCCGTCCGCCTTGCTCACCTGCTGCTCACTCGCTCACCCCCCCCCCCATTCCCTCATTTGTTTGCCTGCTCGCCTGCCCCCCCCCCGCCCCCCACCCCTCGGGGCTCACTACTCTTGCTTGCCTCCCACCCACTCACCCCTAGTTTGGGCACTTCGTCTAAAAGGTTCACCATTGCTACCCTAAGCTCTCACCTTTCATCACTCTACTCAGAGAAGGTGACTGATAGGAGTGAAGGTATAGTTTTGATATTTACCCTTTGATAAGTTGACCTAATTTTTAAAATTGATATTTTGACTAAAATTTTTAGACCTACACAGAAGTATATACAGTAATATGTTCTTTGAGGAATATCTAGGTCCTCCAGGATGATTGCATGGTCAACTTCCACCACTGTGAAATAAGTATACAGCTTTTTAGTCACCTTTTCCTCACTTTCATGGGGGTCCAGCACCCCAACCCCAGCGAGACTGCAGGGCCTGCTATGAAGTCATTTAGAAATAACAGATTTACTTTTTGTGTACTCAGTTAAATGTCGCATTTGTCCCATTCAAGTCATATTACAATCCCATCTTCAAACTCTGAGAGCAGCCTTTCTTCATGTAAGCAATGGCTCACCAGATGTCCCAAAGCAGAAGACTTGAACTTCCTCTAGCCATCCCTGGAAGGACCCTGAAGGGTACAAAACATTCAAATACCTATGGCAAAAAAGTCTATCATCATGATTCTTCAAAAACTGATTCCTGTGTCTGTGTGATTTAAATGTTGCTTGGATTTATTTCTGCCAGCATGACTCCTAACACAAAGTTTTGCTCTGCAGATGTAATCTCAACATATCTAGAGCTGAGATTTGGATTAGATCTTCTATTTCTCCATTCTCCATTGATACCTCCTGGGAACATAAATAGACTAAATACAGCCAAAGAACCATGCTGCTTCATCTTTATGTTTCTATTCTACCTTATCCATAGAGCCTCCATCCCAATTTCTTACAAAATGCTTGTTCTAATCACTCAGATAATTACAGTGCAACTGTGGTGTGCACGCAGTCTTATCCAGCTGTTGGACCATCACTGACAGAATACAGTAGAACTCAAACTGTTCACAAGGAAACATTTAACCCATTGGTTTTTTCTACATGAGTCATTGTATTATGCAAAACTTTCACACAAGATGCACTATAGGTTCTCCAGATAACATAGTTGTGCATTGAGTTTGGAAGGGGTTGTAATGCTACAGTCCTTGCATTCTTGATTAATGTGTCTCCATGTTCAGCTACTATGGAAGCATATGGGTTTAACAGTATCATGACTGGTGAGTGGTAAAATAATTGTCAAAAACTCTGTAGAATATATGATCTTTGGTCTTCTTCCAACATGGGGATGGGGGATTTTTGGTTCCCCAAATATTTTAGATCTCAGCTTCCAAAAGCCTTGCCTAAACAGTATGGTCAGGAGTAAAGGATGATAAGAATTGTAGCCAAAAACATCTTGAGAGAAAAGGTTTGTCACCTCTGCTCTAACATTAGTTCTCTTTATGTCTTATTTTCCGAATGCAGGTATGAGCTGAGTAATGGGCAGCAGAGCTGTGTTTCTGACTCTGCACCTGATGTCAGGCATAGCATCTCAGCAGGCCTACAAACATCTATAATCATCTGCAGAGGAAATCCTGTTATGTGCCAGTAAGTGGGGAAATGTGTGTGTTCCTATTATGAGTAAACCTATAGATTAAGTGAAATGTATTATATGTGGATGTCTCTATTATTCAGACTAGTAGACATATGTAGCTTTTCCCTCTCCAAAAGATCATACTAACACAGGTATAGAGGTCCATAAATGTCTACAAGTGGAGAAATGCATCATGTCCATTTCCCAAAGCCTAATATAAATAAAGTTAGGTGAATTAGTGTCAAAATATACTAGCCAGATAAGAGTATAGTCGTCACAGGCCAAAAAGTATACATGCCAAAGCAGTGTAAAATCAGTACACCTCTGCAGAATGGGTGAGTGTGTACAGTTCAGAAGGACATGGCTTTTTACAGATTCAAAAAGAGTACAGATTTACATAGGTATTTCTACATACAGTATTAACATATTTTAGACCTAACACCACTCCTATCCCTGTGCACACATTTGAAAAAGATTGGCTTGCTGCTTATGATGCTCTATATAAAACACACATGAAAAGAGATCTGGATGTATTCATTTTCTTTTGGTATCCTAACTCTAAGCCTGTTTATGCAAGTTTAAAGGTAGTCATAGAATCATAGAATCATTGAGTTGGAAGAGACCTTGTGGGCCATCCAGTCCAACCCCCTGGCAGAAGCAGGAAAATTGAATTCAAAACAACTTGTACCCTTCCAGATGTGATTGATTTACAACTCTCACCAACCCCTATCAATGGCTACATGGCTAGAGCTGATGGGTATTACAGTCCAACATCAACTGGAGATTTTCCTATCTTATTCTATTGGTTTCACAGGAATAATTTTCAAATGAGTAACAATTAGGAATAATTCTACATTTCAAACACAAAGGCTAGTAATCCACAATTAAGCTGAGGTGGGTTGCAGGTTCAGCAGAGGTCTTCTGTGGTTGAAAGAGGACTTTGGGGGAAATTACCTCATGTGGGACTCCAAATTTCTTCAACTCAAAATTCTGGATCTGCCTAATGTTTTTCTTCTCTCTCTCCATCCTATTCCCGCCCTTTTGAGCAAAGCTCTTGGGAGGAAAAGGACCACCTCCACCCCCTGTTGCTCCACTAATTGGGAGGATTTTGACCTCTGTCAGCAACAGTCTGCAAAAAAAGTGTGCACATATACATGCATACACACATATGACAGAACGTAAAGCGCCGGTATAGAAGTCTGTGTGCATACATATAACTAAGAAAGCTTTGTCTCATTATATATATGTCCCAGGCTTCATATCATAGAACAACCAGTAGGCTAGGGGGTGAGGCCTCTGCATGGAGCGAGGAGATGCTTTGCTATCCCAGGCTTCGGAAATCCTGAATAGAGTCTTATTCAGACTGAAGCAAAATTCTCTGAAACACACAAGAATCCTTTGAGTAATGGGCGTGCGGGAAAGCGACTTCTATAATTACCAGCAACTGTTTGAGATGCATGCTGCCCAGAGACATGTACTGTGCAAAACCACTTGAAAAGGGGCCCCGTAGGAAAGGCAAAGCCTGGGGATTTTTCTCTCTCTCAAAGAGTCCATCATGCAAGGATCCTTCCATTCCAAAATAAGTCTGCCATATTAAAAAAAAAAACCCAGAAACCTCCAAAACCTCAACTTAATCGCTTTGTCCCCGCTGGGACTGGCAAGCCTTGTGAAGGGGAGAAAGGAAACAAAATCGGCTTCCAATTAGAGACTAATCCCAAAGCAAAGCCCTGGAGCTATTACAGAACCCAAAGGCAGGCATAGAGCAGCACAACTAGGGAGCAAACCAGCCTATACAGTACCAAGCCAGCCTTGGCAACTCTGCTTGGAGAAGGAGAGTACGAATAGGGTCTAATTCAGCTCCTCTTGCCTTTCTCACACAATCCAAACCTAGTACCAAAACAGCTGCCATGCAATACAGTCAGTAGGCCCAGACTACACCAGCCACCATAGTTGGAGCCAAAAGAAATTTCCAGGCTCTCACCTCTACAATAGAAATGCACCATCTCTGGCTTTTTGAATTTGCCTGGCTTCAGCATGAAAGGATGGGTTCCCCAAAGGCCTGAGAGTGCGTATCCAAGCCCAAGACCACTTTGCAAGAAAGGCGGCAACATTAACGACAAATTAACCAAAGCAGAAAACAGGCCATGAAAACAATATAAGTAAATTGTTGAAGGCTTTCATGGCCGGAATCACTGGGTTGTTATAAGTTTTTCGGGCTGAATGACCATGTTCCAGAAGCATTCCCTCCTGATGTTTCGCCTGCATCTATGGCAGGCATCCTCAGAGGTGGTGAGGTCTGTTGGAAACTAGGAAAATTGGGTTTATATATGCAGACGACACCAAATTGGGAGGGATAGCCAATACTCCAGAGGACAGGAGAAGGATTCAAAACGATCTTGACAGATTAGAGAGATGGGCCAAAACTAACAAAATGAAGTTCAACAGTGACAAATGCAAGATACTCCACTTTGGCAGGAAAAACGAAATGCAAAGATACAGAATGGGGGATGCCTGGCTCGAGAGCAGTACGTGTGAAAAAGATCTTGGAGTCCTCGTGGACAACAAGTTAAACATGAGCCAACAATGTGATGTGGCGGCAAAAAAGCCAATGGGATTTTGGCCTGCATCAATAGGAGCATAGTGTCTAGATCTAGGGAAGTAATGCTACCCCTCTATTCTGCTTTGGTTAGACCACACCTGGAATATTGTGTCCAATTCTGGGCACCACAATTAAAGAGAGATATTGACAAGCTGGAATGTGTCCAGAGGAGGGCGACTAAAATGATCAAGGGTCTGGAGAACAAGCCCTATGAGGAGCAGCTTAAGGAGCTGGGCATGTTTAGCCTGAAGAAGAGAAGGCTGAGAGGAGATATGATAGCCATGTATAAATATGTGAGAGGAAGCCACAGGGAGGAGGGAGCAAGCTGGTTTTTGCTTCCCTGGAGACTAGGACACAGAACAATGGCTTCAAACTACAAGAGAGGAGATTCCACCTGAACATGAGGAAGAACTTCCTGACTGCGAGAGCCGTTCAGCAGTGGAACTCTCTTCCCCGGAGTGTGGTGGAGGCTCCTTCTTTGGAGGCTTTTAAACAGAGGCTGGATGGCCATCTGTCAGGGGTGATTTGAATGCAATATTCCTGCTTCTTGGCAGGAGGTTGGACTGGATGGCCCATGAGGTCTCTTCCAACTCTTTGATTCTATGATTCTATCTCTGGAATGTCCAGGGTGGTAGAAAGTACTCATCTGTTGGAGGTAGGTGTGAATGTTTCAGTTGGCCACTTTGATTAGCATTTAATGGCCTAGCAGTTTACTAGAGGTGATTAGCTGTCCCGGATTGTTTCTTGTCTAGAGTTCCCCCCTTTTTAGTGTTGTTCTTTATTTACTGGTAGCCAGATTTTGTTCATTTTCATGGTTTCCTCCTTTCTGTTGAAATTCCCCACGTTTGTGGATTTCAATGTCTTCTCTGTGTAGCCTGACATGGTGGTTGTTAGAGTGGTCCAGCATTTCTGTGTTCTCAAATAATATGCTGTGTCCAGGTTAGTTCATTAGGTGCTCTGCTATGGCCGACTTCTCTGGTTGAAGTAGTATGTAGTGCCTTTCATGTTCCTGAACCTGAAGCATGAAAGGCACTGCAGACTACTTCAACCAGAGTAGTCTGCAGTGAAAGGAACAGGCAAAATGTCAGGAGGGAATGCTTCTGGAACATGGCCATACAGCCTGAAAAACTTACAACAACCCAATACAAGTGAAGGTGTTTGTGTTTACTGCATTGATCAAGCAGACCTCAAAGAGCTGTTTTGAGAACAGAGGCAAACCTGTACACTAGTCTAAGTATCTTGGATGAAGGGTGTGCTAAGCATCTTGACTAAAGGAGGCCATGACTAAAGGAGGCCATGTGAATGGAAGAATGTGTAAAAATGGGAATTCATCTACCCGTAGATTTAAAAAGGTCCTAAATTGTAACCAGAATGAACATAGAGGAAAAGACCTCAGGTTCCTCATCTTTCTACACAAGTGTTCCTGGTCTGAGGAGTTAGGTTCTTCTATCAAATAGGAAAGCACAGCTAGAGTTACAAGCAGTGTTTCCCAAACTCTAGTTTTCCAGGTGTTTTAGACTTCAGCTCCCAGAATCCCTGATCATTGGCTAAAGGTAACTGAGACTTCTGGAAGTTGAAGTCCAGAGTTTGAGAATCACTTGTTACAAAGGAGAAGACAGCATTTGAATTTGAAGGAAATTTACTCATTTCACGACACAAAGCCTGTGCCTACTGCATTAGGATGTGCGTACCTTGATTGCAGACCACTTGGGAGCAAATTTCCAGTTTGATGGCATCCCATTGGCACTGAAGGGGGACACCATCACAAACCTTTTGCCTTTGCAACCTTTGCCTCCCAATCTATAGTTGCCATTTCCACAGCTTGCAGAAGTTACATTTTCATACTTTACTTCCTAAAATTCAGATTCAGACTGAGGGATGTCTGGTTCAAAAAAGTAACTTTTTCAAGCTTTGGCCATTTCAGTGAGCCCAACTGTTACTCAAGGTACATCATCTGAAAATGCTTCCGGTAGGGAGACATCACATAAGGACTCCAGCATCTGGAGTTTAAATGAAATTTGAAAGGAAACCTTATTCTGATGTTTTGTTCTCTGTGCCTCAAGAGGATCAGTAAAAATATCAGAACCAGGAGAACATTGCCTGATACAATTTGGCGGAGAAACAATTGACAAGGCAGGGAGAGCGGAAAGTAGGGAGAAAAGGCTGCCTGAGGTTGCACAGGCTTTCCGCTCTCTCACAGCTCATGGTCTGGGGCCTGTCCAACGCAAAGCCAGCGTCTCACCGTGGGTAACCACCAATGCCAGCACCCCAGTGATTTATCCCCTTCTCTGACTGGGGGCTACTTTATGAGCCATACATCCCACAGGCAACTATAAAGAACAGGTTTGTACTGCTTGGTCTCCTGGCCCCTGTGCAACCATACAGCTCCTCCTCCCCCCCCCCTCCCCCACTTCT